GCTTTAAGTCTGATAAAAAAATAATTTTAATATTGTTATATATTTCAAATTTTTTATTTCGGTTTTGAATATTTAAAATAATGCTAGAATCGTTTGCAATTGATTTTTTTTTAAAAAAAATCAACAATAGAAAATCTAATTCGAAATTAAATAGTTGAAATATGCTATTTTTGCTAAAGAGAAAAGCAAATTTATGTTCCCAACTAAAATTTCTTTTATGAAAAATTACATATCGGTTATTGCTCATTTTTTTTATTTGTAATTATAAAGTTCAAATTATCTTAAAAAAAATTTATTTGGGTGTTTTTTGCTTTTTAAAAAAATTCATTACATTTCATTTACTTGTAGTAAGAAAAGTATAAATGTGCCAGACAAGCTTAAAGTTATTTTTATATAAAATTATTTCATGTGGGCTGGACCACATTTCTATCATATACCGTCCAGAGGTATAAAACATCCATTTTAAAGATGGATGCAAATAGGTGGTCCATCTAAAAACAAGTGTAACTAACGGTCCTAATTTTTTTCTTAATATAATTATTATTTCTAGTTTTTTTCTAAAAAAATATTTCATATTCATGATCTCCATGTTAAATATAACATATTCCCTAAAAATCAAGATCAAATTATATTTAAAATATATATTTATTGCCAAGTCCACATTTCTATAATATGAGGGCTAGCCGCATAGAAACCATATCCTATTTTATTATCTATGTTTAATTTTTTTTAATTTTGCAATTTCAAACATATATATGATTTATTTCAAAAATTTAAAAGAAATTTTTAAATATTTGAAGATAATTGTCATCATCATAGCCTTTTTCCAAAATTAATTGGGGTAGATTACACTAATTTTGATCTGTCATTTTGCTCTATTAAAGGTTACACCATCAATGAGGCCATAAATACCCATATTATTTCGGACTACTTCCAAACATATTGGGACTACTCTTTTCCCTTTTCGGTCCTTCTACTATAATTAACTCGCACCTCCTAACAAGTGTTGTACTTGGTCGGTACCACACATGACCAACCCACCTAAGTATACTCTCTTTCATCTTACCGCCTATTGGTGCCACACCTAAATTATCCTAAATTGATCCATTTTGAACTCTATCCGGAATGGATCCATTTCGAAATATGATTATTTGAAAATAATCATGTTTCAAAAAATGAAACTTCCTATATTTTTTTTTTAAATCCTTTCGGGTATTTATGCTAAGTACAAAATTGTGTACTTTAAAAATGGTTTTGACTATCGACCTTTTTTAATGACAGTTGCCAAAAAACTTCTTAAAACAATGTCCATTATACGTTCCTTTTGGCAATATTTTCGTCCTATTGTTTCTAAGTATAACAATTGAATATAAAATCGTTGTATTCTTTAAATCTATATTTATAATATTTTAAATTTTCATTTTTTATTCAATTTTCTATTCTTTAGGGAGATTTTAAAATATAAAGACTAAATTATTTATTTTGAATTATTTACTTTAGTTTTTGATGAATGATTGGTTTTTAACTTGAAGTTTAGAACCAGCAAAGAGGGATTCAGAGTGTCTAAAATAATATGTCTCCATCTAAAACGAGAGGGTATTAGTGTACTGCCATGGGAGAACTATAAATTTAGTCCCCTAACTAATGAGTAATTTTCATAAATTATTTTATTTTTTAAATAATCATTTAAATAATTTTATTTTTTAAATAATCATTTGGAACTGCAAAGTAGAGCCCAAAAATTAGAATAATAAAAAAGTATTTTGTCCAACTGCAAAGTAGAGCCCAAAACTTAGAATAATAAAAAAGTATTTTGTCCAAGGAAACAAGTATATAGTTTGCACAACAAGGGAGCACACATTAATGAAAGACCATGTTTCTATACGGCAAAAAATGTGGGCCCCTTAATAAATCTATTTTTTTAGATGGATTTTAAGACTAAATTTTTAAGAACATGTAATCTCTAGCATGGAAGTCATGAATATGAAAAAAAAATTAAAATTAAAATTAAAAACTAGAAATAATAATTAAAATAAAAAAACATTAGGACCTTTAGTTTTTATTGTTTTTAATTGGAATGCCTACTTGGTTAGAAATGCGGTCCAGCCCACATGAAATAATTTTCCATTAATGAAAAGGTTAAAGAAAATAAAAAAAGGGCCGCTGTGACCACTCATCAATGCAAACTTACCCCACTTTTTTTCCCTTTATATTATGCTCCTCAAGGAACCCACAGTGAACTTGGTACCTCGGGCAATTTAGTTTTTCTTTATTTTTGTATTTTTGAGATCCACTTTACAGATGCGGAAAATTATTTACAAAAGAATTAGAATTTGAATGCGAAAGGTCATTTTCAATGGAGTTATATATAAGTAGCGGGTTTGGGACTTCAAGTTCTCAACCAGTTTTTTAGTTATAATTTTGGTTTCGAACTTAAGGATTCAAATCCTAAACTTAAGCCAGAACTAGAAATAACTCTATGAATGCTATGCTTCTGCAGGAGCATAGTGTATATCTACTTCCTCGGTCATAAGACCTACATGGGGAGATTTTTTTCACTCTTGAATTTAGGAAACCACCAAAGAATCGCTAGATGATTATTTTAAAAAAAAAAAAAAATGAGTTTTTCAAGGCTTGAATCTCACTCTCTAAAAATTGGATGGTCTCTATTCAATCTTGAGACATTAATATTTTTATTTTTATTTATTGAAGTTAATCTATGAGTTGAAGAGGTTACATTCTAAATATTTAGATTTCCTAAAATTAATCCTAGTTGAGGTTTTATCTAAGAGAGTAATCAAACAATATACTCCTTGTGGAGCATAATATCTTTGGCTTTTTTTATGACACAAAAAGGGGTACTGGCCTCCATTCCGCTAATTTTTATCACAAAGTTTCGATTGTCTAAAAATAGTTTTTGACTGATTTTTAAATTTATTCAAACAATTAAATTCTTCGAGCTTTCTTTTTTATCGTAATTTTCTTGCTATTTTTATATTTTAAAATTTGTTACTCTTTCTTTTGTGCTTCATGTAAATGACATCAATTTTCCACATGACAAATTATTTTGGTTATTGAATATTTTGTTATTTTTCAATCTCTTATTGTATATGTACATGTAACATATGATAAATCCGCTAGTATCAATTATGTAGTTTAGGAGCACATTCCAAATTGGCCATAGAGAAGGGGTAAAACGGATTAGATTATTAAGGTAGCACCCCATACCTTAGTCATCACTTTGTGGTTTCTATTTTCACCACTAACACAAACCCACTAATACTTTAAAAAAACTAACTCTTAATCTACTTGAAAAAATGAGTAGGGGCCTGCCTTCCCCACTGAATTACCAAAAAAAAGAAAAAAAGAGTAGAGATTATCCCCTCCCCAAAAAAAATCCCATTTTTCTTTGCGCACTTTTACCATTTCATGATCCTTCGATAAAAAAACAAGAATTAAAAACCAAATAATGGGTTTAATAAAGGGTTTTGTAGGCTACACCACTTGGTGGTGTATACCCTTAAAGTCTTCAACATTTTTTGACATTCAGATACCTTTATTCTATAGTGTAGTAAATTTTTTGTCTATGGGTATTTTAAATAATTAGTCAATGGTAAAGTAGAAATTTTTAATACAAATAAAAACATTTATTAACAATAGTGGACAATGACATCACGAACATGGTGTGTGACATCACCCACAAGATGCATTAATTATTTTTTAATTACTAATAGAATGATACTATTTTCTTATAAAAATATTCATTCTACCCTTGTAAATGACCAAAAATGAAAAAATTGTATTACAATTCAATAGTATTTAAGTGTCAAAAAATATTGAGAACTTTAAGGGTATATACCACCAAGTGATGTAGCCGAACAAAACCCTTTAATAAAAAGAAAAGCAAATAAATGGTAGTAGTGTGTCATCCCTGCCGTCTAAGGTAAAATGAGGTGACAAAGATGAAATGTCCTTCCACTTGAACTTGTGATGGTAAACTTGAGCCTAAGACTCCTTGTCTCTACCATCCATTGAATATTAAATGTAGTTAGTTGACACCAAACAAGTACACTGCCTAGATGATGTGTACCTTATGGTAGAGTTCCAAGAATGGACCCAAGGCATACGAGGTCAGGGTGATGGGTGCTTCAATATGACATTTTGAGTTTCATTCTTATTAAGGGTAGAAGACTCATCACCCATTAATCTACCCAAAAAAATATAATAGAGTTCCCCTGTCTAGTGAGACCACCCATCAGAGCCATTGTTAACCATTGCTCTTGGAGGCGTATTTTCATAATACTTATATCTACAATTGTTGCAATAGGCGCATGATTTGGTTATACACCAATTTGGCCACTATTAATGGATAAAATAATTTCTTTCACTTCGAATCCCAAATAATTCGATCAAGAGTCAGTACACAAAGATTTACATAAAAAATAAAAATAAAAATTTAAAAAACTGAGAGTTGAGGGAAAAGGCATTTTGTTTGTAACTTGAATGATCAAGATAAAATGGCTTACCACATACAAAAGTTGCTGCAATAGTGCCATTCCGTTGTGACTCTTCCTCTACCCTCCTACCTCTCCAGTCTACGAATTCCTCCATGTTCACATCCATTTCACCAATAACTTCAAACCAAGCAAGAAAGAAAGGGTTGAGAAAAGATCAATTTAAGGAGGACAAAATGTGAAGGTATACAAAGATAAGACGAAAGTAAATGAGTAATGACAAGGTATCTTAAATATAGGGTGGCACTTTTAGTGCATGAAGAGCCAAATGGAGATATGCATTTGCATCCCTGCCTGCCCAAAGTAAGGCCCAAGTAAATTCCTTCATCTATATTTAGCACATTTACTAAAACAAAAATAGATGCATGTCACAGCGCATTATCATAAGAGGCCTTTTTTTTTCTTTTTTGCCTTTTTTTTACTTTTTTTTAAATTTTTTTATTTTTACTTTTTTTTTTTATTTTTTAAATTTGAGCTTACCGTCATCGTCGTCATCATCATCCGAACTTTATCCCTAATGGCCCTTCAAAAAACTAAAATCAATTGTTCACATTTCCTTCACATTAATATTTTTTATATTTGGGTAAGTACAAAAAAATTAATTTTTTACACATTAATAATTCCCATTTTAGGGATTGTATATTATTTGAAAATTAGCATCAAAATCTGCTTCAAAATTAGATTACTAAGGGGAGTTTGCATTTCTACTTATGAGTCTAGGGCTCATAGAAACCATGTCCTTTAAAATGAGTGGTGACCTTTGTTCACGTCCTAAACCTTTTTCTTGAACGCAACTAATTTTCACTGCTTAAGTAAAACATTACTTCTCCAAAGAAAAGGTACTAAAGATCAATCAAAGATAGGGACAATGGGACATTAAATCACACGTCACGTAAAAATTTATTGGAAAACAAGCCAAAAGATTTTATGCTCCCTCTGATAGGCCATTTACTTCCTTGTGTAACTAGTTTTAGTTATAGGAGCATAGTTATGAGGATTGGATCGGTAGGTCCTTTTGGATCATGTATCAATAGTATAGTTTATTTGGTCTACAACAAAAATCAAATGCATTTAAAAATTGTCAAAAACAATTTCTGACCAGTTTTGGTCTATCCAATTTGACGTCTGACTCTTATAGCACTACTTAAGAACTCAAATTTTACAAATATAACCTCCTCAACCTAGCAAACGTTCAAAAGAACTAAAAACTTCACATGCATTCACAAATATAATTTCATAAGGTTCTTTTTGGGCGACTAATTTCATAAGGTTGAAAGCATATCAACCATTTTTGTGACGATCGAAGGGGCTTGAATCTAATTTTTGTTTCCAAATATTCCTTTTTGAGAACCTAAAGTCTTATCATAAAATAAGATTAGCGGGTCGGGTTCGGACCCGGACCTAGACCCGAACAATATTTGGGCCCAGGTTTTGGACCTGGATCCGACCCCTCGGGTCCAAACATTGGACCCATAACCGTAACCATCGGGTTGGGTCCCGGGTTTGGTCGGGTCCATTGCCACCCTTACTATTATGAGCTTTGTTTTTTTTTTCTTTGCCATTTTTTTACCATCGTTATTGGTAACAAGGTCGCAATCACCCACCAGCAGATTACAAGGTTCTCAAGTCCTCTCATTTTTCTGGTTGGTAATAGCCAACCGTTATGGAAATCCTTTTTCTGATTACTAACATAATGGAAATGAGAGAAAAATATGTTTTGTCTCTTATTAATGGTTAAATTTTCCTTGTATATTTTAAATAGTGTTAATTTGATTTTATTTTTATTCTTCGAGAGGCACATTATTGGTTTTTCTTCTCCTGTTAACGACATTGTCCTCCCCTGATGCATATTTATCATGCTATTTTCTTTATGAGGGTTGACATATGAGAACCTGATTCATATTTGTTGTCATTTTTTGTTTTTTAATATGGTGGATATATTCCTGAGCTATCATTGTTATAAACCTCTTGTTTGGGTGAATTAATTTTCATTATTTTTGTAGTTCATACTTGTAGGAACTGTTCCTTTTTTTTTGGAATCATATATACACATTTAAATCCATAAATTCAGGCTGAGTTGAGCAAGTGGTAGTGCACAAAAGAGGTTTTTCATTGAAAACAGATCACAAATCTAGCAACAAGAACAGTACGAGAGATTACAAAGTGACATCCCAATGACAAACTACTCAACCCTCTACAAATGAGGACTCCTACTTGCTACCACTCCACATTTCTAAAGCATATGCCTCCATAGCTCCCCTCACCCACAACAGGATATGTCCTTTCAATACCTCTATAGTATCAGAAATATCAAATACTTCCTCAAACAGGGGTAAGTGCTTCCTTCCTAGTCCATTTGATAGCAATGAGGCAATCACCCACCCTCAATAATGAAAAGATCTCCAACTCTAATGAGCACAGCTTCACCCTAACCATTGCTTGAGCCCTCTAAGCCAATTATAGGGTTCTTGCTGCTCAACCATCACATTTTCCATTTCTTCACCCTCAACTTGTAAACTGAATTGAAATGTGAAGTTTCATTAATCACATTGAACTCCTTCAAAACAAAGTGGATTTTTACTATCTATATACAGAACACTTAGCAGGCAAGAGATGGGGCCCTGTTTATGACGAATGTGCTCCACTTGAAAGGAATTTGTGTTATCAGCATTCTCATTTTTCTTGTTCTCATATAACATATACTAGATTGGGGGCTAACTTGATACATGTGCCTCCTCCCCAGAAACCATCTTGGTTTCATACCTCTCTTCCGGATCCCATTGACGTTTATGGAAAGCACCAGTTGGACAATACACAACTCATGGTAGTTCCGATATAAAGACAATACACAATGGCAGATGTAAATATGGTTACATTCTAATTCAAAATTATTATTTTTCTACCCTTGATAAACTCTCCTCCACTGTTTACATCATCTTTTTGTTATCATGGTTGAGTTTCCTGCCCATGATCCACTCTTAGTAGTTGAGAATGAATTTAAAGCAATGACCCAGTTGAGTGAAGACTCATCGCATGTTGTATATTGTTTAGAAACTGCAATTTTGAAATTTACCAGTCATTTAACTTGAATTTTGATTGCGACATAAGATTATTCGTGAAGTTATCATACTTATAGAGCAATGATCTAATGCAACGGTTGTATCATATATGAATTGGTGTGTTTGTGTGTAGTGGTGGCCTGCTGTCTCTTCTGCTTCTCGGGTTCAAGGCAAGCTAGGCCCTCCTCTTCAAGACCTCATTTCACCTTTTAATTGTGACGTTGATGCTTTGTTAAGAATCCTTGCTATTTCTAGTGTTATTAAGGAAGTACAAGCAAAACGTACTCCTCACTCTTACACATAGAAGAGAGTAATTTCAAATGTTGAAAATATTAATACATCTTTTTAATACTCTATTTTTTTTGGATGCATAAATATTGCGGTAAATAGGCATCCATTCTACTGGAGAAAGAGACTCTATGTTGTTTGCCTAGCAAACAACGGTCACATGGGGTTAAAGATGTATTCTTGACATTGGGAAGAATATGCTTTGTTACTAAGATTTGCATTCCTTTCTCACTCATGTAGACAATACACCTACGCCACAGATCTTGTGAGGATTCTTCTATGTCGGCATTAACTTCTCCATCGGCATTAACTTATCCATCGAAGACTTGCACTTGTGGTTTGTAGAGTGAACAACACTTCTTGCCCTTTGCTATGACAAGATATCCCTTTATTAGTTTTTAATGTCCCTTACCGAATACTGAGTGGTACCCTTCATCATCTAAACACCCTACTGAGATGAGGTTCAGATGGATATCTGGTACATGTCCAACGTCCATTAGCACAAGCTTCATCCCAACATTAGTCTTGAGGTGTATGCTTTATGACATTGGAGTAAACTCTTTTAGGACGCATTTGTTTTTCTGAAAGATATCTTATGGAAAGTTGAATGTTTTTAAATATTTTAGAAAGTTGATTGTTTTGTTATACAATGTTTAAATAAGTTCTAGGTATTGTGTTTGATAACTTGCTGGAATGTTAAGAATGTTATGGGTACAATATATATATATATATATATATATATATATGGGAAAAGATGGGATTAGTCCACTAGCTCATATGAACATATAAGCCCAACGGCCCATATTGCATCTGAACCGATCTGACGATCACGGATGTCCGGTAGTGCTTGAATTTTTTTTTTTCTACAGATCTAAATCACTTGAAATTTTAGGTGTGTGTTCTTCTCATCAAGGCGCGCCTAATAAAAATATAAAAAAAAATTATTCACAAAGAATAAAATGATCAAAATACCCTCGAAACTTTTTTATGGCATTTTGGTCACTTTATTTCATGTAAAATATTTTTTTTGATATTTTTCGAAGATTCATATATTTTTTATGAACACATTTCTACAATTTCAAATGATTTAGATTTGTAGAAAAAACACTAAAATTTGAACACTATCGGACATCTATGATCATCAGATTGGCCCATAATCAATCAATGACGTTGGGTTCATATGTTCATATGAGCTAGTGGGCTAATCTCATCTTTTCCCTATATATATATATCAACCATATAAATATATAATATAACGTATTTTATATATTTTATTAATGTATATTTGTATTATATATAAAATATAATATAAAAAATATAATATAATATTCATTATAATATAAGATATCTATATATTATGTATTTATAATAAATAATATTTATATAAGATATTTATATGTTATGTATTTATAATATAATAGTATAAATATTATTTATAATATTATAGGGAAAATTACATAAAAATTCGATATACTTTGCGTTATTACAGATATACCAAATAGTTTATGTTATTACCTGTATGTCCGCGTTGTACCTTTTATAACACAATTTTTTAAAAAAGATCACTTTACCATTTTTCGGATATTTCAACATTCGAAAATAGGCCGAAAGTTAAACATTAAATTTCCTATTTTTGGATATTGAACATCCGAAATTCAACATCTGAAAACACCCTGATTGTTGATAACATTTTCGGATGTTGCAAGAGATTTTCGAATGTTGAAAGAGATTTTCAAATGCTCAACATCCGAAAATACCGTTA